TAATTAGGTTTTCCCCGAAACAGTAATGACCGGAGAAAGGGTTACGCCGGACTCACAATTAGCTTAGCTTTTTTAAATATATAAATGTTAGGGGTACGGTTCTTAAATGCCTTTCCTGAACATTAGCGCGTAATTTCATCTTTTGCTTTCTAAAAACCGAGATCTCACCGTGGGGCACACGATGAACACAACGCGATTGTGAGCACGCCTTCGTTCGGGAGGGGGAGAATTGATTGTGCGCAGCGTGCAATTGAGAAACGTGTATTTGTTTGGTGGGAATGCAGCCGCATTTAAAGGTTACGTGATTTTTATTGGACGTGAAGTCCGCTAAGTGTGAAACTATACACGCAACCATTACTTAAACGTATAGGTTTTCAGTGCAATTCTATAGATGTTCTTTTCAACCTCGATTTAAACTCAAGGAACCGCCTTGGCATATGGTTTGAAGGAGACTAAGACATACATTGCCACTGCAATCAACGCCTAATCACTACCTTGACACACTGTGTAAAACACGCCAACGTTTCGGTTCACGGCCCATCCACAGATCGATTTCCCTTATTGCTTTGAAAAATGAGCAACATCCCAAAAGACTATAGCTTGCATTTCTCTTTTAAGTATTGCTATTAATCTTAATTTAGGAGCTTTCGTGACTGCAGGAATTATTCTTTGTTCTTTTCTGTTAAGTCACGTCTAATTTATTATTTTATTTTTAGACGTGACTTAACCGAAAAGAACCAAAGAATTATTGCTATTAAACTATGTAAAATGTATTCGAAGGTGGTATAGTGTATGCCACCACTTTGTCGGTGTATGTTATGTATGATCTTTAAAGTTAGGCAAGGTTGACCCGAGATAATGCATGGAAGGGTGGCCACTATGCATGAAACATGCGTTATAAGTCTCCTGTGGGGCTACTTTTTCCAGCCAAGGTTAGTGCAACAACATCCATTGTCCTGAACGATGCTCCGACGCCTATGACCACCCGCTTTCAGCAACCCCGCACTAACAAGCATGGTGAAGTATGGTCAAACAACCCTCCCGGCCTATATGCTGGCACGGGCAAGGCCCTAATCCAGCAGTGGATTGACAAAGATGGGCAGTGCCTGTACATTCTACGCATAATCGTGGCCGATTGTTTTGTTCGTATACCTTGCCCTGACAAGTGACAGCTACGGGATGTGAGCCAGTGTGATGTGTACGTGTGCACAGACAATTCTGCCACGTGCATCCGAATTAATCCAACCAACTCGGCATGCACGCCGTCGAAACAGGATCGAAACACGCTTGCACGGATATACAGGGCGATCAATTTAAACATATCCCCACGGCATTCTAATTGATCTCCCCTTTTATTTTTAAACGGGCGATTGAACGCCGTGAAAGCGACGTCTTCGTAATCTCGCAGAGCGTTCACAGATTTAATAGGTGCGGCAAAATTAGCCGGGGGGGGGGGATGAGGGTGGAATGACACGTTGGCTCCGCGTCTTCATCTATCGGACGAAAAGTAGGGTTGATGTTTTTGTGGGGTCTCTGTAAATGGATCACCCCGTATTATACACGGGGGGGGAGGCTGCTTTGGCGGGGGGCGGCTTTGTGCACCATGCACTGACTGAACCCCATGCGAACTCAAAGCAGCACAGTCATTGCCTGTGGCTAAACTATACTCGTGACACCGCATTCTTGGATGTGAAAACGATACACGCACTACTTTTTTTTCTTAAATAACAAAAAAACCCTCCCATGTTCAAGCATGTTTTTGTTGTTGTTTTTGGAAGGCACATTTTTATTTGCCCGTATAGCCGTCCGTCAAGGCCCACCTCTCTCTTCTCTACGCAAACACGAGTTAGGGTCGCCGTAACTATGACGGTACAATGTATATATACACACACACAAGATACACACACGCACACAAAATCTGCTCCCGTAATCAAGCACCACCGCTCAACTTGTCAGTGCAACGTTGCGTCAACTTTACTGTTGTTTCTCTCTCTCTCTCAAATCACCTTTTATATATATAAAATGAAACACTTTAACGAGTCTCAGGTTTCAATATCATTCCGTACGGGGGGGGCGGTTCTTTCCCGTCTCTCCCTTTTCCACACACGCAAAAAAAAGTAAAGCATCCCTTTCATATACAAAAAAATGACACATTTTGCACATTCAACGAACTGCGCGTGAAAACTTTTGTGAAACTTCAGGGGTTGTTGTTGTTGTTGCATGTGCTCACAAAATCTGCACGCAGCCCGGTACAATGGAAGTATAAGTACGGTATGTAATATACTCAAGGTGTCGTACAATAAGCGATACACAGTATAGCATTATACAATACGCAAGTAAAACATACACTGTGTCGGTGTGGCAACAGCAATGTCCATAACAGTTGGGACTTGTGTCTGTGTATTTAACCGCAATATGACAGTAATTGAATGTATTATACGGTTGTTCTTTTACAGCAATTTGCACATCATTTGTTTTTGCATTGCGTAAAAAAAAGATACCGCCACACGTGCACCAACGCTTAAAGCGCATTTCTTTGTGTTTTTTAATAATGCTCTATAATTCTATACATTTCTTTGCATTGGCAAAACAAAATAAACAAATCCTATCCAATGTGTTATAAGGTACGTGCTCGCTGCAAACATCAATCAGCATCAATGACAACGAGACATTAACCACGGCAATGTCGTCAGGTTTGCAAATCCTGCATCTCGCATCTACAGGACGAAGATCAATGTGTGCAGTGTGTGTAAAAAATTAAACCATCACGTACGACCTCACTCAAACGGGGGCACTAAATCAGGGGTGGCACGGCACAGTAATTATCCTTTCCTATAAAGGAGCATTTCACAAAAATGCCGCCACTTATTGATTATTTTTGCTGTATTGCAAAAAAACCAGTTACGGTTACTTTATTTAAAAAAAACAAGCCACTGTCCATTGGATTGATGAACCCAGATGTGTTCTGCCAAATTCTCCGGAAAGTAATCAAGACGCACCAAAAAAAACCAACCACGTGCCCGGGTGTGAATATAAAGTTCTGCAAATATGGTCACACACACACACACACCTGCCGGGTTATAAGACGCATCCCTTAAGTTTCGTTTTTAAAATACAGGGGGGAGGAAAAGTGCGTCTTATAAACCGGAGAATACGGTGCTGCATGGACCTGAACATCGGAACAACATTAATTTTAATTTCATTTTTTACCTACGTGACTTTACCGAAAGAACTAAGAGTATGAATCATTGCAGTCACGAAAGCTTCAAATCTAGAATCGGAACAACACACGGGCCGTTCAAACGCACACACACACACATTCTTCGGCACGCTGTAGATATGTTACGGATGTTTATTTACCGTGTGAACAACAACACAAAAAATAATGAAAGGTAGAACCTACATTTGATTATGCGCTGAATTAAAATACTGCATTCAAAGTTGCGCGTTTTAAAGGTTTTAGGCTTTCGTTTGACATTTAATTTTCTGTTATTAGCGGACAAATGTAAAAAAAACCAAAACATCAGGTGCCCCCCTGCCACCACCTCCGCGACTTGAGATTTAGTCAATGTCAATCAACATATTGTGTCTGTGCACACAAACACCCATCCGTGACCTGGTCACTTTGTATAAGCATTGTACATACACACTGCCCAGTCAATTCCTTATCACAACCATACGCAAGTCGAGGTAGAGTGATCGTGTTTTTAAGGCCAGTCTTTCTGTTAAGTTTTCGCACACAAATAGCAGCTATCGTAAGGTTTTTTTGGAAAGGGGGGGTGATCGGGAAAATTGGGGAGTTGTTGGGAAATCGGCTCGGAAAGAGATGCTCGCGAAATGTCAAAACTGCCTACGCATTACAAAGTCCCGTCCGTTGACACTTTTGGGATGGAGGAAAAGGTTACTTTTTGTTTTAAATAGTTAAAAGGCTAAACACCTATTCGTGTTATCTGCGTTGCAGGCAAGAGGACTTCTCGCTCAGAGGTGGCGCAATTGGTCCGCGCAAGTGTCCAAGTCGCGTCTAACATTCCGACCCAGGATAATTCTATCGCGTTCATCTATACAGCCACTTGTGAAGGATGTGTTCGTGCAGATTTTCCGAGATAGCGTGCAGGGGATGAGGCTGGTCCGCTTGAAAAAACAACGATATCGGAAAAACAAAAACAAGTCTTAAACAAACAGAAAACAAATCATTATTCGCCAGCCGGAGGAAGTCCAACACCTTTCATCGGCACATTCTGGCCGAAACTCGTTAACCACGTTTTTAAATAAATCTCAAATGCGAACACCACCACCGCCACTGTCACCGATGAGGTCTTTCTTTTGGTGGCTGGAAGCGGCGGTACACAAAGGCCCCCGTCCCCAGAACCGAGACGATTGACAGCTTGGCTGTATCCGCCGTCTTGCAGGACGCTGGCCACGTGTAAGGGACGGAGAGATACCTCGCATATTCTCTCGGCTGTAGGTGCTGGCCCCTTCCTTGTAATAGGCCTCTTAGGCTGCTTCGATACCACCTACCCAGGCGTGGGTCCACTCCTTGTCCGGCTTCAACTTCAGTTGGCAGCCGGTGGTTGGGAAGACGGAGCCGAACTTCAACAACAACACAACAACAACACGCGTTGAACGAAAGCTTGGCGCTCGAGTGAAATTGTCCTGGGTGAGACGACGACGACGATGATGATGTTGATGAGATGGTGGTGGTGGCTTGTTTGTCGTGGTGCTCAGCTTATCGTAGTGCTAAGCTTGCTTACTGCCTCCGCCACCGATGATGTTGTTGCTGCTGCTGCTGGTGGCGCTGCTCAGTCGCCAGTCGCGGGTTTGATGTCCACATGGCAGAGGCAGCAGCAGCAGCTTGAAGGAGGTCGCTCCACAACCACCACCTCCACCCTGTCCACACAACAACGAGCGATGGCACCGACGCGAGACCGTACGGCAACAGGACAAGGAGCTCGGGGTAAGGAAGACGACTTTTTCCCTCTCCCCTCCCTCCCTCTCCCTCGCTACCGTCGCCTCGTGCCGCTGTTGATGAGGTACAGGACGATGTCCTGGTGTCCTCCGAAGGCTGCGATGTGCAGGGCGCTCCACCCGTCACGCGTGGCCAACCTGGGGTCAGCCCCGAACTGCACGAGGAGCTTCACGAGCTCCAAGTTGCCCGCGATGACCGAGCGATGAAGAGCCGTCTGACCCTCGGGGCCGAAAAACGAGTTCACGTTGAACTGTTCGCCGGCACCGGCCGTGGCGTCTTGCAGGAGGGCCTGGAGTTTGCTGGTGTCACCTCGACTCACCGCCTCCTGGAAGATGCGCTGGTACGAGGAGGATGAGGAGCAGGAGGGCATCTCAGCTTGGCTCATGGTCGCCACGGCCACCCCACCACACACGTGTGCGTGGGCCCTCTCGCTCACCTCACCCACGGTCGGAAGCGAACGAGGAGATGGCTTTTGGTGGCCCTCTCTCACTTGGGTTTTTGGTAAATGATGGACGGGGCCACCCACACCACCACCACCACCCCAGTATTGTCACCACCACCACCGGCACCGCTGCACACGTGCCGAGTCGCTCTGGGTTTCTTGTTTTCTCGTCCAAGCCTTCCTCCTCCTCCTTCTTGTTCTCTCAGTTCACTCGCTCGTCCTTGTTGTCCGGCGGCGTCGTCGTTTAACTCGGTTCTGTCTCGGTCTTCACTCGACTTCGGTCGACTTCTTGAGCGTTCCTCCCCAAAGCTCCCGGCGCCAATTTCCTCACCGCCTGGGCCACTTCACAAGTAGCGCGCTTTATGATTTTTTAATTCCCCCCCCAAAAAACGTGGGAGATGGAGGAAGAGGAGGGGGCGGTGCGTGAAGGGCGCCTCGCTGTGCACTGCGGTCTGTGGGAACTCCGCAGACAGACGCGGGGCTTTTTAACGCTGGGGGGGTTGGTGGCGGTGGTCGGGGGTTTCAATGGAGAAGAGGTTCACCCCAGCCACCCCCTACGGCGGTCTCCTCTGTCGCGCGCCGCACAGACGTCGCTGTTTCTAAACCGTGCTGCGGAGACCCCGAGCCACCACCATCAGCCCCCACCACCAGCCCCACCATCAGCAGCCCCCCACCACCAACCCCACCACCACTAGTCCCACCACCACCAGCAGCCCCAACCACCACCACCAGCCCCACCACAACCAGCAGCCTCAACCACCCCACCTGCCCCACCACCAGCCTCACCACCCACCACCAGCCCCAACCACCACCACCAGCCCCACAACCATCAGCCCCACCACCACAACCACCACCAGCCCCAACCACTACCACCAGCCCCAACCACCACCACCAGTCCAACCACCACCACCAGCCCCACCACCATCAGCCCCCACCACCACAACCACCACCAGCCCCAACCACCACCCCAACCACCATCACCAGCCCCAACCACCACAACCACCACCAGCCCCACCACCACCAGCCCCACCATCCCCAACCACCACCACCAGCCACAACCACCAGCACCAGCCCCACACCGCTCTTTACCTAACAAATTATAACTGGTTGCGTATTACCGTACCGTATGTAACCTAACCGCACACACGTATTACTGGCGATGTTAATAAGATAAATAATAAGTGGAGTTATGTTTGAATAAATGACACACGTTAGTTAATTCGCACATTGTCCAGTTAGTCAATTCACCCGATATGCCGTGTAACACCCGACATGAACACATTCGATGCTGTCACCGTGGTGGTGGTTAGTGATTGTCACACTCGCGTGCGGTGTGGTTTAATGTGGCCAACGTGGAAGAGTAGGCCAAATACCATCTAGAGGCGCTCTCCAGTGCTCCAGTTAAGTGGATGCCCTTCCGCCAGCAGTGGCGTGAGCGAGCAATTGCAGGGCTGTACCTTTACCTTGTAATGTATGGAGAGAGCAGTGGTACGGCGGTTAGCGCACTGCACTTCAAACCTTCATCCAGGCGTTTCTCATCTTCTCAGTGTATTTTAAGATCGTGCATTTTACATAGGATTTCTTAACGTATCATTAAGGTTACAGACGAGAGGGAGGAGCCTGTCATGAAGACTGTGCATTGTTAGAATATTGTTATATTAAGATAGCTTTATACATTAAAAGGGTAGTGGTTAGTTTCCTAAAACCATAAAAAGCACGTTCATCAATTCCTACCTTAAATTGGGGAACTCAACGTACATTTGTGCTTTAACAATAAACTTTGCATGCACTTTGTGATGGCAATATAAATGTCAATGATTGTGTTGATAATACATGATTTTTTTTTTAAAATAACAATTTTACAGAAACAGTTTGGTTGTTATCAAAATTCAAACTTTAAACATGCAGTGTGCAATCTGGAGTTTAATCCCAAAATTCATAGCATCATTGAAATGAATTGCTCAATGTTAATTCCAGTAATTAACACTAGTACGTGAACATTTACTAATTATGTGGTGATGTTGCTTTGACAGTAATGCACACGCTCACTCCACATTCGTCAAAACACTTTTGCCTTAACAGTAAATATATAATAGGCAACGTTTTGGGAAATGGCCCTTCTTAATAGCACATAAAAACGTTATTTGTGTTATTGTGCTATGTTTATGAGAGTCTGCCAGCATCATTTTAATATATTTTGCTCGTGATGTATGTACATTACTCAGAGCGAACGATTTGTACCTCAACTGGACATGTGTGAAAAAGAGCTTTATCGCTCACTGGATTCCTCCAGAATAAAGATTCTGATTCTGAGCTGTTCGGAAAGCAAGACAGCTCACTCCAAGTGATTATGGCCAGTGGGCAAAAATAACCCAGAAGCAACCAAAAGCAGGAAACAGTGCCCAGGAATAAATCCCCCGCAGAGATGGGCCAATGAGATTGGCTTTCCCGTGAAAGGTGCTCGCTGCATTGTCGGACCATGAGGCACGGCCAATAGCTTGGGAAGGCCTTCATCCAGCAGTGGATTGACCATGGCTGACGATGAAGCTTACCGTGGAGGAAACCGTCGGGGGCCATCCATTTAGTCCGTACGCAAAAATCTGTCAAAACTTGACCCCTCCACCTCCCTCCCTGTACGCACGCGGACTTTTTACACCCCCCCCCGAATCCTATAGAACGGCCGATATTTAATCCACGCAGAAACGATCAAGGATGAATAATATTCACGTGTTTAAGCAAACAGACAGCCCACCGCCGGACTATCTAGCTCATTTGAAGGCAGTAGACAAATTATTATCGAGCTTCACACCCCCCCCCCCACCGTTTCCTATGCGTACATTGTCAATAGCCCCCCCATACGCAAGGGTACGCATTTGGGTTCACCCCCCTCCATGCGTACTGAATGGATGTCCCCTTACGAGTTAAAGATATGAAATGGCTGATTCCGTAATCGGAGGCTGACAGTGTCCTGTGTAAAACTAATGTTCAGGAGGTCAACGCCAATATTGAGGTTTGCTGGCCACGAGAGGGCTGGAGGGGAGAATTCGTCGAGTTTTAGCGATTCCACCAATGAAGGAGCGCAGACTGCGGTGATTTATAACTAAATATAGTCGAGTTTGTGTTGTATGGCCACTTGCACTGTGGTGTTTGTCTTTAATGTATCTCGAGTCCACGTGCCTCTATGGGTTTACTGCAGTGCTGAATATGGTTCCATAGTTTAGGCAGCACGGCCACAATCGCACTCTACCCGCAGATCGTGACTTTTAATTTCCCCATTTACGAAGGGAGGAGATGTGGCTTGAACATCGCCCCGTTGATATGCTCCCGATACGTTTGCTTCGCACACCAGCGGAGTGCATAACTGAACACATTTTTTTAGTTTTTACTTTAGCCAGGTAAGGCCCTCTTGAGCTCTATCGATCTTTTTCAGAAGCGACCTGGCTATCAGAATTTATTGTGCAATTAAGTGCCTTATACGTGGAAATGTATAGCAGCCAAATACGCCAAAAGCGTCTTTATATGTGTGGAAGCAAAAACCGCAGGACCCGAAAGAAAAAAAATCCACTCGACCACGGGAAGAGGGACACGCAAACTATCGTGTTTTTTTATTGGTTCTTTCGGTAAATTAACGTAGAAGGGAAATAATAAAATAATAAAAATAAAACAAGAAAATTCTCACGTTTCGATTGCAACACAAGCAATCATCATCAGGTGTGAAAACCACAGCAATATATTTTTTTTAAGTGGCGTTTTTTTGCTGTGGTTTTCACACCTGACGATTGCTTGTGTTGCAATCGAAACGTCGTGAGAATTGTATTGTTTAATTTTTATTATTTTATTATTTTCCGTCTACGTGACTTTACCAAAAGAACCAAGAAGATGAATCCCTGCCGTCAAGAAAGCTTTAAAAAATTTTTCGTGTTTTTGTGTTGTTGTTGTTGTAACTTTCTTACCCATCCCTACTGGACATGTGAAAAAGAACTTTACAGCTCTTCGGATTCCTCCGCTACAAATATTCTGACCCGACGACTTTCTGCGCACCAGGCGATGGAGTTAACATCTCGACTGAAACCACAACACATTCTCATCGCTGTCAACCCCTTGTCACTTGCCTCTTACTTATTACAGAACAATTCACACCTCATTGGTCACCCCGTGCCCTTATAAATATCAACGTTCCTCCTGCAAAGAAACACAAACAAGACAAAAACTTGTTTTTTTGCCACGTATTGAAACGGCTGCACATCGCATGGACCTCCAAATAATATTTCCTGTACAAGATACGGGGTTCAACCGTACGGGTTGACAATTACGCATCCTATTCTTTGGGTCTTTCGGTAAAGTCACGTAGATAGGTTCAAAGAAAATAACCAAAAAATAAAAAAATATGGGCAGTTTTTGTAAAAAAAAAATGTTGTTATTTTCTTTGAACCCATCTACGTGACTTAACCGAAAGACCCAAAGAACATGAATTCCCGCAGTCACGAAAGCTTTAAGTTAAGATTTAACTACGCATCCTACACCACCACCCCACCCCCCCCAGGACACAAAAAAGGAGCGCCAAATTTCATTCATCTCGCGGGCGCTCCTCCTGCACCTCCTGCTACCACACGCAACACGGAGAGAGCGATGAAGACAGAAGCCGCGGCCCACGGCCACCACGGCCACTGTATCGAGTTGCCGCTCCCCGCGTTGAATTTCACCGCTGGGCGTGGGAACTTCGCATTCCTCTCCCCTCGCGGCAGCCAATGGCGCGTCGCTCCGCTAGATTCTCCCTCGGCCGGTGGGACTCTGCAACCCCATTGGTCCGCCAGCGAATGCTGAGTAGGCGTGGCCTGCGGTTGTGACCGCCCTCCCCCCCACCACAACCTCCACCCCCCACCTCCTCTGCCTTACTCCCCCACCACCACCCGTCCGTTCAGCACCCCCCCCCACCACCCAAA